CCCCCCCCCCCCCCGCCCGCCCCACCCCCGCAGTGACGCAAACGATGAGAGTTGTTTTAGGCCAAGTCACAATTTCAGCCAAGATGATTCACACACTCTCGCAACGAACGTAAACATATACACGCCATGCAAACACACCCACACACCAAGCAGAACTTCGATCTCAACTAGAGGCTTTAAGGACAAGGTTAGCAGACTGTCCCGGATAAACGAATCTAAACTTGAAAAACCAATATAGGCTTTCATAAGGATAGTGAATAAATGAACTGAAAAAGACCCGACTTTCATTGGAGGAATTTGACTTCAATAGATAGAGAGAGAGAAACTCGCAATATGCCACCTCAATCATTGACCATGGACATGAGACTTCTATCTCAGAGGGCGCGAATTTAGACTCCTGTGCCGTTGATGAGCAAAGTTCTAGTAAAGACGATCCGAAACTTCCATATCACATGCAACAGCCTGGAGATGTCAATTAAATGTAAGCTAAACCCAAAGCTAAAAACGAAAAACTGCATTTTTTCCAGATTTTATTCAAAACTCCGAAATCTTGAAGGCTTGATTAAAGAAAACTAACGTGACTGAATAAGGCAGTGAAAATAAGGATACGTATAGATTCAGGGAATTTAAAAGGAGATAACAAGGCCCATTCAGGTAGTCGAGTTTATTACAATAGCAAGTTATTCTAGTCACAAAAGAACTAGATATTATTACAATATATATGACTATTTTCTAGAGAACGCGTCACTTAATCATTCTCCTTTACTATAAAAATTGCGCCTATCATATACTAGAATAATTAGTACTTTGAATGACAAATCACATTCCTGAAAATATTTTATTTTTTTTTTGAAAATTTTACATGAAATGTTTTATTTTCTCCACCAACCAAAGCATTTGTAACTCAGCGTGACTCAGTGAGTGAGGTTAGTGTTTCGCATAAAGTGCAATCGACTCATTAAAATATATGAATTAATGAAAAAAAGCACATAAAGGGATTTTCCGAAAAATCGCCCAAGGCGGTTAAACGGAAAATTCCATTTCATGAAACTATTCGGATGGACGAAATTTTAAAAACCCTGGTAGTACCCAAGCCTAGGCTGATGATGATATATGTGATAACGGTATTTGAGAAATACTCAATTTTCAGATAGAGAAATGGTATAAGGAAGCATAAAGATAAAAGATGCATACCAAATTACCCAAACACCATTTTGTTAGAAATGGAAGAAACTTACCAACTCCACCACCTATAGCAATTGCCCAGACGGTAACTGTGGGCGCGAAGGAGGCAACTAGGAGACTGATGCAAGCGCAGACACCGCCGATCATCACCACCGCCCGGTCTCCAATGCGCTGAACCACAAAGTGATTCGGTAGGGCTACAACGCAATGACACAACAATTGGGCAAGCTCAAAATGCCCCAAATCTATTAAAAAAAGCAACCATGTAAAACTACATCGGAAAAATTTTGGTTGAGCCTTTCAGTATCTGAAGTGAATCATGCTCAATCCATGCAGTAGTAAAGGTGACAATCCAAAATTATCCAATTCTTGGTTACTATTAGTACAGGTTAAAATATACGAAGTCCTTTAACTATTTGCATACTCAATTACTCAATAAGGTCGCCTCTTTTGTAGACGCAACTTAAATTATCAGCTAACAGCTTTCCATTCTGACGACGTATATATACATGACATTTGAAGGTGTATCTACGTAGAACCGAGAGGCTAATCAGAGATTTCCAATAGGTGGAAGTGTTAAAATTGAGGAAAATGCTGTCAGAGGTTGGGGGGCTCGATAATAGGGAGTGGACATCGATAAAAGGGGTCCTATGTGTAGGCAGAAAGGCAAATTAATGTTTTCACTTAATGAGAGCGTTTCGAGACCTCGAATAAGCGCGCTCAATATCACTTTCAGTACGATACCTAATGCTTGACCAAGTAGTGATTTTGGTGACGAGGTAGGAGTAGAGTAAGTCGAATGAGAATGGAATGAAAGAATCTCGACTAAAATAGCCTAGAACTCCCAACTTGCATTGCGAAAATTGCCAGCAGTACTTGAAATTACATTGATCGAGCGTCTCGTATATGAGAGAATCTCGTACTCTTCCGCTACCAGTGCTGACTAGAATAGACCAGTGTTGTATACTTACCGATGGCGTGAACTCTACTCTAGCAGACGTCCGCAGTGACAACTACGCGACCGGCGTACTGAGAAGAATCTAAGGTGATAGATCACATGCAGTTCGTTTTTTTCATAACAAATATGACAAATTTCACTGCTAATTCATTGCAAAAGTCTGCTGACTGTTGGTAGGCACTTACAGAATGTACACAGGCATCCAAATTAGCAATAAATGAACGTAAATAAATTAAACTTTATTCTCTAGCAATAAATTTTATCCTGTTTACAAGCTGTAAGTCGTAAAATTGTTGAATCTAACCACTAGTAACAATTTCAATGTTTGCGGAATACGCAAATACGAAATTGGTTCATGTGCACTTGTTAAAGCTAAATATGATTATTGCAGAAGATAAAGGGAGTGGGTGCTAAAAGGAGGGCAATCACACTAAAGTAACAATTTCTCATGAATAGGAAACCCAGGGGGTTATTGAGTAGCATTTCATCAAATAGGCAATTAATTCGCATCAAGAATAGCTGAAGACGGATTACCTGTCTTGGCTTATGACGTTTAAATAATCATACCCATTTCCATTCACTTAGCCTTTGATTGAACAGGATGAAAAAAACAATTTGTTGAGGTGTTAAGACCTACCCCATGTTTAACTCAATTAGTTAATAAACTCTCAATATTGTAGACATAACCTCGCTAATGAACTGGGGGGGGGTGTCCATCCAAGAAATTTGAAGATTAGGGCATCGAAGAGTAAACTATACCACCTTATAGGCTTATCAACAACTCAGGGCTCTCATAGCTCACACAAAGTGAAACTCTGCATTTGGTAACTTCATATCTTGAGGGTTTATTTTTCGTAAAGGAGAAGAACTCACAGAGAATGAACATGAGCATGTAGATAACTCCCCCAGTGAGTGTGAAAATGGCTGCCGGAGCATCGAACTCATCCTGAAATGCCTCCATAATGATGCCGTAGGATTTAGCCAATCCACCAAGTATGAAATTGGCTATGAAACCGCCTGAAATGAAACAAAAAATTCGCCAAGTTAATGTTATCAATTCGACTGCACTACAATCAGGTTAGATGTGGTTCCAGAATCATGCTCCATGAGAGTATATAATATAATATAAGATATCTATGAGAATGCTCCCCTCATTAAAAATGTACTTAGATCTAGGCAAATTAACATTAATTGATGCCGTGAACAACCATAAGCAATGATTGATTGCATTAGGAACTCCTATAATCGAGTGAATATGTTTGCCTATAATTTCATAGATAAATGAATAAAATACCATGGATATGGCGCTACGCTGATAATGCAGCAATAAAAACAAGAATCAAAGACGTTAATATGGGGACTCATTGATCCAAATGAACGAATTTATTAGGGCAAAAAATCACTTATAAATAATACTAATAGAAAAAAGGATTATTAAATAATGGGCTATCTCTACCTCTTTTCGTCCTTTAAAGGGCATAGAAATGATATTGTACGAATAATCCAAGTTAGGGTATAGGAAATCGATGTTAATCGGCCTAAAGCACACTGATTGATTTTGGACATCAAAACAGATAGTGAAATTCGAGATTCACGTAATGAGAATGAACCTAGGACAATTTCTCACATCGCCATTGCTGTAAACAAGTTTTTGGCAATTGATGACTATGCTTACTTTGAACTGTATTTGAAAATATCTTCCACAAAAGTAATTTGGCCTGATGTAGACCAAAATTGAACATCAAGTTTGAGTTATCTTACTTGTCGAATATTAGAGCAGTTAGTCGTGGAACAACGGGATTGCTAATTCTTCCATTTTAGCACTTAAACCTCAATTTTGTAAATGTCATTAGTGTGGTAAATTACTTCTAATGAAATTGTCTACTCATCGACTAGAATGTAATACATCAAAGTTTGTCTGAGATTGAGAATAAATTGTGAAATAGTTCTAGCCAGTTTGATAGTAAAATTTCAATTTGACTTATGGTGAAGAACAAGCGGATTAATTCTATCAATAACATGTTTAGAATTAGTGTATAAATAAGGCTGTTCGAAGCTCAACACACCTTCCTAATCGTGAATTTCATCATTCATAATGAAAGTAGCAACAAACAATGTCAGTGAATCCTTCATACCTTGTCAAGGCAAGGCCCAGTGAAACAGAACACATTAAGGAATGGGATTAAAATAACGGCAGTTTAGAAATAAAGTGAATGACAAGGAGCAAATTTTCAGCAGCATTGTGAATGACAATTGGGCTTTTTAGAAAAGAATGAAATTGTAATTAGAGAATAATGGGAGACCCACTCAATCAGAGCTCCAAAATCTGTTTAACACCCGAATTAAACACCCACGCGCAGACTAGAGTACGTAGTCAAGCCTAATGTCTGATTAAGATTATTAATAGAATTTAAAAGTGGAGTTAGCAAATTCCTGCAATATCGAGCAGCCTGCGCTGTCTTAAATAGAAGTCTGAGATAAAAATAGAGAGATGAAATACTTATTGATAATCAGGCATCAGGGATTTCTGATTTAAGAAGTAGTTAACTGAATCGAGATTTACGATTTGCCCACAGTTGGACCAGAATGAATTATTCTGCCGGAAAGCATGTTTCAACCACGTGGTCAGACGCAAACACACCCTCCCTCCCTCCATCCCTCCACCCACCAACTCCCTTTTCTTTGCAATCTGTTTGACCATTTGCCAAAAAAAGAAGAACTGAAGAGAGGTATAAGGCATGCGTCTTCCAAACTGCCAAACTCGTTTAGGCGAGCGATTTCCATATCAAATATTGTAACAAATAGTAGGAGAATAGTGCCTCAAGACAAGGGTATTGAATTATGTCATCCTTCTTCAATAAACAGTTGTTTAAATCAATCCGATCACTGGATAAACTGATGAGCACTGAATTCTTGATATTTATTTTCGTAGAAGTGCAAGATAGCCATTTGTTGACTAAAAGTTTTAATTCTCAGGTTCATACATGAGTGCGTCATTTCTGGAAGCTTATTCTCTGAAGAGACAGATACCGCAAAATGAAGGCGTGTAAATGTACTTTTTTTCAATTGGGTGCCGGGGGCCCACAGAGTTCAGGAGCAAAGAAAAGATCCCGAAAGGTCGTCAATAAACTTAGCATCATTATGTCTTAAACTAAGACTCTAAAAGCTATTTACAGTTGCCTGACCATTGCCAATGATGTATGATACATTTCATGGAAAAGGAAAAATCCACATTTTGGCCCTCAATATGAAATAGCTAGTGGATATGCGCAGCTGGTATTTAACCAAGCCCCAAAATGAACAAGGAAGGTGCGCCTTGAAAACGGATTCTACTTACCTCAACCCTATTGACCACTTGTAACCCTTTAACGCTCTGCAAGACTGTACGGTGCTCTTTGAAAATAAGCTCAATTGGTACTAGACTCCTAACAGAAGGCACCATTGCCGTTTGAAACATGTTCAATACTTCTATGGCCTTCGTCTGATACCAACAAAACTCATCACGTCGGCGGCATCAGTCTACTAGGAGACACGCGTGAGTACAATTGGGTGCATTTTTCAAAAATGATTCGGGCATTAAAGGGTTGAGTATTCAAAATTTGCCGACTCCTTTTCAAATTTTAATTTTCTCTGACACCATTAACTTAGGAATAGACAGCTAAAACGGTTGATTAATACCTCTCAATAGCACCTAAATTAATATTGAAGATTTTTAATCCGCATACTCGAAACTTTTAAATTACATTGTCAACGATTTTCGTTAAGCTCAAACGCTAATAAAAAGCGGGTATTATACAATGTAGACTTGAATACCTATTTCTCATTTAGGGTGAAACAAAAAAATGGTTTGATTCCTCGACTCATTCCGGAAATAATTTTACTGCTTCTATTATAATAAGAAAGATAATTCTAAAATTTCCGCATGGGCTTTGAGATCAGATTCACCTTATAGTAAACCAAAACTCGCTTATCATTGAACAATCGAGTTATTAATATTAGATGTGTAAAATTGTGCAATTCCAGATTTTTTGTCTAACCTTTTAGTGAAAAACGCTTTAACTAAAACCCACAGTCGCAAGTAATCAGAGGAGCGGAAGTGGTTCTACACAGTGGGGATATTATCATTACTAAATTTAATGTAGTACAACCTGACAACGAAGGTATAAAAATATTGCCACAACAATCTCCACACACAAACAAATTTCAAACATCTAAAGAGTCAAGCGCTTCCTCTATACCATCAACATTAGAGCCATTTGAAACCATGAATAGACAACCTCCTAGAGATAAGATACAAAAAATTGAGAATAATTGCTATGAAGAGTACATCCGTTTAACAAAGATATAAAAACAGTACATAAGAATAACGTGCAAAAAGAGTATGAAAATTCATGTTTGCAAATGGATAAAGCCTGATACTATCAGACATAGACATGGGTGAACAAAAATAGACCTGTACGTTAAACCATAACACAACACATAAAGTCCATACAGAATAAATAAGAGCAAGTACCAATGGCAGAAAAATTCAAAATAAGAAAGCATAATTAACTGATGACTAAATATACATCGATAGTTCACGTCACAGAAACTTGATTAAAAAAGAAAAACAGTTACGTACAAGAGATAAATTATTTTGCAAAAAATAGAGAACAACTTACCGACAACAGTTCCCCATGCTCGTTGACTATCAACGATGACTGTTGTCATGGTCTGGGAAATGGTGACTTACTAACTCAAAAAAAATTAAAAGGTTAGACACTTATATCAAATAAATACAAAGAAAAAATAATACAATAGTACAGCTCTCAACAATACTCAATTAATAACGGAGGAAATATTAGTATTAGTAGCAAAGAACAATATAACAACTAAGAAAATAGCACAGAACTGAATAAATAAAAATAACTGATCCAAAAAGCTACAACGACTTTTCAATACCAAATGATAAAGCATGAAAGTTAAAGCTAAATCATGGAACAGATCAAGTTTCGAATAAATACAATACAACATTCAGTATTAAATCTTAACATATATCCTATTTCAATTCGGTCGTACACGCGATGGCCACGCATTTAATTGGTTAAATTGCATGATAAGATAAGCGAATAGGATTGCGAATAATATCTTTAGTTGTTTTAGTTTATTTGTAAAAATTTTATAGAAACGCAAATGATAATTAAAATAGCTTTATAATACGTTAATAATCATACACGGAAACACGAGAAAAACCCACGTTTTAGGCTGAAAATATGCTGACAGAAAATTCATCAATATATAAACTAACCAATAATATTGCTGCTTCACAGTTAGGTCTTTTTGCAATAATTAAACAAATGCGAATAAACAAACGTGAGCTTTTTAATTTATAATAAGCCTAATAATTTTTTAGTCAAAGATATTCATTAAGTCATTTATTTAACTGCTTTTATAGCAAATATAAGTTAAATATATCTAGAAAATCGTGATTACTACTTATTATGGAAAATTATATAAACCTACATTTTGAGAATATAAAAGGAAGCATTATTAGAGTAAAATGGTTTATAGCCACACTTTTCGACTAAGATTTATTGAAATTGAATATTTTTGACGATGAGTCAATTAATTTGCACAGTGATACAATTTTAATTTTTATGACGTCATTAAATGTTTCATATGAATCACTGGAAGACTTTCTTATATATTAGCATATTTTCTGCCTTGTTTTAACTTGATTTTGACTATGTTTATTGCGTTTCTATATTACTATATTGGACTGTTATCAGAAGTTTTCCCGACTTTCCTTTTTACACGGTTGTAGTTAGTTTTTCTATATTTTATCATGATTACCAAATTCTTAATTATTTCTTCTTACAGTGTCATTTATCTGCTTGTTATATCTGATTTATTTTTTGTTAATTAAATTAATACGCACTTGAAGGTTCGCTTCAGCATGTTTGTTGGCCCTGAGTAATTGAACTCAGACTACGTTGGCAGCTTATTCTAGATACAGGAACGAAAATGATTTCCAACTGATTCATTTAATCGTATATACGTTAAGAGAAAGTCTAGAACCCGAGATATAGGCAACCACAATTCTATACTTCTCGAAACGGAAATAGACGGTATATCTAGATTGCTGCTGGCCTCACTCTGGCATTATTATTTCTATTCGATTTTTTTGATATATTTGAAATTCACATAAATATTTTTCGTTGAACATTTTACCTTCCTATACTTAAAACGATTAGTTAGTTAATCATGTAATAGTTACCTAAGATCACTCTGGCCAAATGTTTAAACCACTTAGAGACGTTTAAATTGCATTTTTCCTCTGAATATTTGAAATATATTCATTCACATGAAACTTACTGTGCTATTATAAATATGTGTCCCTATTCAAATAATGTTATATCTTCGGTAATAAACCACTTTCATATTATAGTTTTAATTACTAAAAACATTTCATTAGTTACCAGTAGTTTTCAAATGTAAAGTCTGAGATTATTTTCCTTGCTTCAGGTCACATTATTTCAAAGTTGAATCACGTTAAGGAAATGTGTGTAAAATTATCAGAAGAGACGTAAACAAATGTACTATATTTAGACATGCGGATTAAGCAAGAAGAAAATCTTAGCTTTTATTTATTGAACACAAATTGTGCTATTTATTCTACCAAAATTACAAATAACGATTATTCCTTAGTTTAAATTGTTCTAATGTTCACACTATTCACATCATGCTATTTAGCTATTAGAAGTGTGTCCAAATTTTCTTTTGCAAATAAAATATAGTTTTTGATGCCATCAGTCAGAAATGATGCTTGCCTTTGACCTCTCGGCACTTTCGAGGTTAAGCATCGGAAAATTGCCAGCAATAGTTCAATTTTCTTGCCCATCAGATGACACCTGAAAAAATTAAGATTTTAGTATGGTATGGAGATGGTTCCTTTCGAATGAATATACCTTTAGGTTAGATCAAATACATCGATTTACCGAGCAAATAATACATCATCAAATGCATCAAATTTGCTCAAAAATGGTCGGTAGCGATTTCAATAAACTGACACATTTATAAAACGTCTTTTATAGGAGGGGTAATAGGCGGAAACTGCATTTATTTATTTACATAAGAAATATTGGAATTTTCAGGGGAAGGGGACGGATCTTCCAGCTGATGAGCAGATTTCTTCTGTGTTCATCCAAAAAATTTAGGGTAATTTGTTATCTCCAATAAGTGGGGGATTCCTTCAGAACCGAATATTAAATTATTACTAATATCAATATTTACACCTTGACAATAATAGGTGCTGGAAGATTAGATAGATAAATTGTGGGTATCAGACTTGAAATAAAACTTTTAAGTAAGCTTTCCTGTGGTTATATGGTTTTGGAAGATCATTGGAAAGAATAGTTATGCGTGTTGATATTTCAGCATAAAAGATTATTAGCATTGGAATTTTGTCTAACAAACCATTTAGTTCCTTTAAAACGCATCTATTTGTTGGGACAAAGCGTATTACTCAACTAACCCGTTTAGAGTGAGCGCGGTTTGGGCACTACATCTTAATAAGGGGTTACAATTACCTTGAGTGACCTCTTTTAAATGGGCTAATAACTTCGTGCACTTATTAACCACTTGAGCACTTAAAGGTCTTTTAATAACGTAATTAAGACTTTGCTAGATAATGCTAGAATTGGCATACGTGATTGATTTCCTAAGTTGAAAGCATCTTTGTAGTACTGTTCCAAACTTCAAACACAATTTGAAATTTAGCAAAACACCCCTATTGATGCAGATAAACAAATAGCTATGTTAATTCTAATTTCGTCTCTATTGGAATTGGTTTTCCCCAAAGACATGTCATGTATCATTTTAAACCCTCTCTTATTTAGTAAAACTGCAAGTAATTTTATCTCGTTTGAGCCTGAAGTCCTGCGTTGAAGCGACCCAAACTAGATTACTATTTGAGCCTATGGTAATAACCCCAATTCAAAGATACAAGCAAAGGTTTGTCGATTGAAAAGTCAGATGTGGAAATGCTCTATCAAAATCCAATCTCTTACAAACAGGCCGAATTGGTACAGACAGTCACGGGCATCAAGTGTTTACTCTATGCAGATGATCTTGTTCTATGGTATTCCGCCCCTAAGAAAAACGCTCAGGAGAGGACAGAAAGTGCCCTAAATTATGCACTTAAACTACTGGCAAACTGGTGCGACAACAATAGAATGTTAATTAACACAGCGAAAACTGCATTCCAAACTTTTTCTTTGGCCCGTCGCAGCATAAACTCACTTCTAAGGTACAAGGATACTACCCTAGAAAAAACCAATGAGTTCACATAT